TTCCGGAGCGTGGCGACGGTGGTGCTGAACCTGCAGCCGATTCTGGTGCTGCTCGTTTTGCTGCCGACGCAGTGCTTGCGACAGGAACTCCTCCAAAGAATCCGCTGCCTGTCGGGTCACCCTGCTGGTCATGGCTGCTGCGCCGCTCTTTTGGTGGAGTCTTGCTTTTGGATGGCTTGGGAAGCTTGAGACCACTGCCCTCCCCTCGTGGCCCTTGTGCAGTCGCAGTTGCCTCTCTTGGGGAATGCTCTTGGTCCACTCGTGCTGCGGATGTGCTGGGGCCTGTGAAGTCTAGGAAGGCTTCTGTTCCGGAGCGTGGCGACGGTAGTGCTGAACCTGCAGCAGATTCTGGCGCTGCTCGTTTCTCTGCTGATGGATCGCTGGCACCAAGGAATGCACTTGCCGTCGGAGCACTCTGCTCATTCTGACCTTTTGGGCGCTCTCTGGGCGGAGATTTGCTTTTCGGCTGTGGGAATGCAAGGGGACGGTCTCTTGCTCGCGGCGAGACTCCCTGGCCCTGGCCCTTCCTTCTCCTCTCTTTCTCAGACAGCGCCGGAACACTTGAAGTGGCCTGTGGACCCGGCGATTTGGCGGTGTCCGAAGCCTGGGAGTCGGCGCTCTCCCCACGAGCCCGTGAACCCGCCCTGATGCCCCTGCCAGCCTCGAGAAAGTCCATGACGTGGCATGCTGCCCGTCAGACCTGGCCCCTTAAGGGCAATCTAAGCCAAGGCAACTGGCGAAAGGAACACTGCGGCATGCGCTGGCACAGCAACTCCACCTTCAAGCTTTCTCCTCTTTTTGCCGGATGAGAGGGGTATATTGATTTCGAGCTCCAAGCTTTTCCAAGCAGCTGCTGAAAAATTTCAGGGAACACAGGGAGCAAACTCTGCCTTTCAAGCGCGATGTCTTGTGCGAGCTCTGCCGAGACTGCAACCATGAAGGCAAACGGCCCATTAACGTTTCGGGCACAAGCCGCTCACTGGCCCACCCCCATGATGTTGGCAAGGGCACCCCAGATGCCTGGATCTCCCTCCTGAAGCGAACGCGCCCGTGCCCCCTGCTGTAGGCCACCTTGCTTTCTGCTCTCTCCTCCTCCTTGTCTTTCTTTACAGCCAGGTCCTGACAAACAAAGAGCCGAGAGTTCGCCCGCCCGAAAAGGGCCCCAAAACCAACTGCAGCAGAGCCGCTCGGCAGCTGAGCCCGCCACACCTGCCAGGACAGCCAGGACAGGCAGGGCCACAGAAGCAGCAGAAAAAAGAAGCTCTCTGAGTCTTCTGCTTGAAGAAGATGGTGCAAATATAACCTTGTTTCAAGCATCGAGCCTACAACTCCAGGCCTCTGGATCTCCGCATGAGGTTGCCCTACGCTGATCCAAATTGCAGACCAACAGCGAGCCCCGCGTTCGATCTCCACACCGCCATGGAGTCGCTGGCCTCCGAAAAGGATTCCGCCACCTCCGGAGTGGATCTGAAAACCCTCCCAATGTTGCAACATTATTGCCCATGTCTGCAGACAAGGCTGCACGTTCTTTTGGCGACTCCGCGTGCATCACATGCATGACACGCATCAACATGCACGTGGGCTCTGCCAAGGTCTGGGCCGAAGGAAACCGAAAACCACTCGGGTGCCTTGGGATGGCCGATACACGCTGCCGTCCAAGAACTCGGTGCCACCTCCGACGTAATCGTTCCTGGGCTCAGAACTGCAGGAACAGGAGTCGGTCCGAAACCGCTCACAACTGTTCGGACTGAGACATCTTGTGGCCGTGGCTCTCGTCAGACAGGGTCACAATCGAACTGACGATGGAACCTTGTAAAGGAGAGCTCAAGGACGAGGTTTCTCTGGATTCAGGTTTCGGGGCTCCGGCCGTCCCGATGAAAGGACAGCCCCCTTTGAGAGTCTGTGGCATACCTGACGATGAACGCATCATCCACCACCACGTTCTGCGGCGGGAGCCTGGCAGGTGCTACAGTCACATGGCAAGCTGTCTCGCCTCCCTCAACGTCTTCTGCAGTCCCGGCGCTCGAAATATTCGCCAATTGCTTCAATGAGTGGGGCCGCCAGCTTGTCCTGGCAGTGCCCCGATAGCAAGATGATGTGTAGCGTCACGGTAGGCACAAGGCCTGGAAGATCTTCTGTGCAGCAGTGGACTTCAAATCGCGGATCTTCACATCCTGCGAGACAAAGGGTCCAAAATCCAAAACCACGGTCAAAAGGAGAGGACAGAAAGAGTCTTTCACATGTCCCTTTTCTTCACCGCTGCAAAGCGCCCGAGCCGGTCTCTGGAGAGCTGGCCGACAAAGGTCAACCGAGCAAGTCCACTGAGACGGAGTTCGAGTTCATCGAGGGCGAGGTTGAAGGATGCGGCGGATGCGCTTGAGCGGTGCCCTTCTGGGGCAACTCCGGCAGCCTACCAAGGGATCTTGCTCAGCTCGCCTGTCCAGTTTACTGTGCAGGCACTGCTGGACCTGACGTGCGTCGCGATGTGCAACTTCTCTCCGTGCAGCGTTTCGTCTGCTCCAGTGGAGCACAGGTAGCGTTGCATCTCTTCCTGCGGAACCAGAACAGCTCGTGCGAGGCGATCGTCTCAGGCACAGCACTCCTTGTTGCCCCAAACGGTCCCTGGAGGTCTCAACCAAGCAACATCTGCAGTGATGCCATCGTATCCTTAGTCATCAGACTTGCAACTTGGGAAGCACGCGAGATGCTCAAACGCACTCTCTTCAGGTGAGCTGCGCAGAACGTTGGCCAAGTACCAGCCAGTCTGGAACTTTGCCAAAACCAGCTGTCCTGCCAAACAATTCTGGAAGTGGCACATTCCTAAACCCTAGGTCCCTAGGTCATAAGGAGAGCTGTTCCTGTCTGCAGGGTTTGCGGCGTCTGCATCGGCGTTTTCGGTGAGGAAGGTACATGTGGCGGGTCTTCGAAGTCCAACAAGTCCTCTTCATGCACAACTGTCAGGTGTATTCAGTTTCTACGAGTGCAAACTTTCCACTTGCCTGTGGCAGCGTCGGTGCAGTCACCGCAGCCGGCGTGAGGGAAGCCTCCGATGTAGTCACAGGGCTCACTGGCCCCAGGCCGAACGGCCCAGCCCCAGCCTGACGGTGCCGTGAGTCAGGAGTGTTGATCGCGTCTTGTTTCTCTCCGGGCCTGCGGCGAGGCCGCAACGGCCTCGGGCAGAGGCGACGGGCTCGTGCTTGGCGGGGTCCTTCGCAGTCCGAAGAGTCTTGGCGCTTTGCCTGGCGGCCCCAGCGGTCCGTGTGGGGCTCTCGGCTGCCCGAGGAAGAGCTAGTAGGAGCAACTCAAGCATCACCTCGGATCCCAGTTCGAGGTGGACACTGGGTCAAAGCCCATTTGCATGACAGTAAGAGCCATTTTTCTGGAATTCAGCTGTGTTGCACAAACAGGGCGGTGGTCTGTGTGGTTCAAATGGCCCAGTGCACAGTAGCCTTTGGCAGGTGGTCGAGAGGTCTCTCTCATTGATAAATTGAATCAAGTCAGTCTTGACAGTGTTTCCAAGTGTTTTCTATTGTGGCGCTCTTTTTTGTATTGGTCTCATGGCCACTGAGCAGCTCTTTCTGACCACGCTGACCCTGGAGTGGAGCACGCGGTCACACCAGGCTGGCTGGCGCTCGAGGTCATAGGAACTTTGTCCTCTGAACTCGCAGGAACTCAATGCATGCTACTAGTGCCCTTTGCTCTTGGAGCCAGGCTTCTTTAGCAGTTGTGACGTAGGTCCTTGCCTGGTCTGTGCTGCCCGGTCCTTCCACCAGCCGGTAGGTGGGAGGGAAGCGCACGGGGCCCTCCACAAGGCTGAACTCCTCCGAGGCAAAGACGGGTCCCTGCACTCTGAGACTCAGGCGACAGCCCCAGTCCTTGAGAATCTCCTGGAGCTCCTGCCTCTGAGGACGAAGCGATGGCAAGACACTGACACTCCACTCTGACTGCACTTCTGTCCTGCTCCTGCCTGCAGTCACTTCGTCATCTGAGCTTGCGTGGCTTCGGAGCAGCCCGGGACTCTCCACGTGCATTCCGGGCGGCGCTCGCGGAAGAGGCGCATCACCTCCTCGCTGGTCTGGTAAGATCCTTCCCCGACTCGCCTTTCGGAGCTCCCCACGCCGGCAGGGTTCGCCCATCCTCCCGCACTCCGGGCTACAGCTCGGAAGGACTGTCCCTTAAGATCGTGAGAAGCCTTCGGACAAGACCTTGGGAATCTGCCCCATCGCTTCTGGAAAGGCAGCTCGAAAATTGAAGTCACCACCTCGAGCTCAGCGACTTTCTGACGGTACGTGCTAGGCCGCTGGCCGCTGCCTAGAACCATGACGTCGTACTTCGCCTTCTCGTGGCGCACGCCTCAGAGTCTCTAAGAGAGAAAGAGGGCTCCTGCTTTCATGTCACTTCGAGATGCCCTGGAGGATCTCCCGGAGCTGTTCAAGGCGCTCCTGAACTGTGCCGATACCCTCATGTAATTCGATAACAGGGCAAATCAAGACAAGAAGCAATGGTGGCAAGTTTAGTCTCGGTGACAAGAAGAAAGCAGCCAGAAGTGTCCTGAGCCTTCTTGCCGTGCTGGCCACTCTCCAAGTGCAAGCTGATGGCACAGATCGAGGTCCTTTGTAAACATGAACTATCCGTGTTGGCGTCGCGAAGGCGGCAGTTTTCCAAGCCAATCTAGGCATGGATTGGTACTCAGTGAAATCTAGGCATGGATTGGTACTCAGTGAAACTATGGGATGTATGAGTTCGAGAATGCTTCGAGACAGGCCGGGTAGTCGACTGCCAGACTGGTCCCTGGTTCTCTAAACCCTGCTAGCCTCAGCACAGAACCTAAATCGTACGGGCCCCTAGCCCATGCCTCCTTGAAGCCACGAGGCTCCTCAATCTTGAAGCTGACGGCCACGGCGCCCTTGCCAAGGCTCTGTGTATCCCGAGCAGGGGATCTCTGTCTCGAAAAACCCACTAGGATTCTTCCACTCCAGGCCATGTCATCAATTGAGCTACACGGTCCGCACGCGGACTAGCATGAGAACAGCTCCGTGGCAGCACTACACCTGTAGCCATTTGACTTACAAGAGAATGTGAACAAAAAGGGAGCATGTCACGCCGCCTTGTTGCCAGCTTGCCCATAGAGCCCCGAGCGAACTCTGTCCGCCGAAACGGATTTCACGGAGCCGGCCAAGCGCTGCGCCACAAAGACGCCAACGAAAAGGCCCACCATTCCTTAAGCGTACAGGACAGCAAAGGTTTCCAAAGGGAGATTTGGATCTAGCTGCCAACGATTTCTGCTCACTTTTACAGTCCATGACGGACGCTTGCGGGCTTCCAGAGATGCAAAAGCTCGATTACGGCTCTGTGGCAGCTGATTCGAAAGGCTTTCTTTGCTTTCTGCTATTGGCCAGCGTTTCTGCCTCTATGCCTCTCACCCGAAGTGCCGTCGCTTGAGGTCTGAACCCGAATATCTAAAGCCGTCTGAAGTCCCTAGACAGTAAGAGTGTGAAATCCGATCTATACTCGAAGGCCTTACACTCATCCTTTGGCCTTTTAACCCTGACTGCCAAACTCTAAAGTGCAACTCCCCCCCGCTTCACTTAAACGGCCCGGAGTCCGCAGCTCCGCAGCTCCCAGAAGCTCTCGCCGAGCTCGGCTTTCAGGGCAGCGGCACCGGCCGATGCGAAGCGCGCCTGAGAAACAAAAGCCGCCCGAAGCATGTGCTTTTTGATTCGGGGTTTGGGCGCGTAGCCGCTTAGCCCCTATCCTAGAAGCTAATCCTATATTCCGAGGCTTCAGAGAGGAGAGATGGTTCCATAGCGTTTTTTGCACTCAGTCTTGCTCGTGCAGCCATTTGAAGCCTCCTTGAACTAACATGTCCTACAAGCTAAAACTTGTACAGTATTAGGGTCTACCGTCTGCCTGCTGGAGCTCATCCCCGGAGCTGAGGAGCACCACGTTGCTGGCGGAAAGCTCCTTTTTGGGACTCTGCTGGGCTAACAGCGGGGGTTTCTGCGGAGAGAGAAATGGCTCTACTTGCAAACATCTGTAACTAACCAACCACTGTGAGTAGAAAGCTTCTGGTTCGCAACTCATTTGCAGTCTTATACTGCGCTGTGACGCGCGTTCAGCTGCCAGCATTCTGTCACTGTTCTGCGCCTCGTTTCGGCTCCCTCTCCGGTTTGCGCTGCTCACACTCATGTCGGCTCTCAGTTGGATTCCACTCGCAAAGCAGGCATGGCGATAAGTGTCCAGGCTTGCTACGTGGACTTGCCAATCTGTCATGGCAGAGAGCGTTGCAACACCAACGAGTAATGAACGACAATGAAAGTAAACATCAACCACCATAGGTATAAGAAAACCTCGTGCTCTCAATGCCCGCAGTTCCTGGCAGTCCTGTCTCTGACTCAAACGGTGGCTGTGTCACCACCCTTCTGTTTCCAAACAGCATAATCAGACTTGAAGGGGCATGCTCTGTAAGGCCCCATCTGTTCAGTTTTTACCCTTCAACGATCAGACTGTCCTTCCAAGGCATGCAGCTGCAACAATCTCTCACAGCAGAATTCAAGCTTGCAGAGTTTCGATCATACTCACCCCATCGCGATTGCCAGCGAAACGCCGAATGGCCGGCAACATGCCGAATGGACAAATTGGCGTCCCCATGTACCTCTTCCTTCAAACTCGTCGCCAGAGAGGCTGTCATTCGCCAGCGGAGTCGTCAGATTGAGTGTAGCAAATGCAAGTCAGAATTCAGAATCATCAAATTCGTCAGCCACGCGCAGAACCAAATTTAGATCTGAGCCTATCCCGCTCGTGGCGTGCCAGTGCAGACAAAACGGACGTCCTTGTCCCAAATATTTTGGTGTGAATTCTTTCATCGCAGCAAAAACATGAATCCATCTCAGTTGGATTTAAGTTTTCGGGATGTTGATGAGCTTGGGGCTTCGAGGAGGTAAGTCATCGGATGGCACAGAGCGGAGGAGGTGTCTGTGTGTGTGTGCTTGATTGAGACGAGTGGCGGAAAATTCTTGGAAGCAGAACACGAAGATGTCCGGGCTTTCTCGGGTGCTCCCCTGAACCTCGCAAGCTCCTCGCACCAAGCCTGCAGCAAACGGCTCGTGACTTATTTAGAATACATGTATGAAATATTCCGTTCGCGCGCAGTGTCTATATTCATAAACACGTACTGTTTACAGATAAGCAGATACACACACAAAAACACACACGCACACACACACACACACATATATATATATATATATATGGTAACCGCCCACATGAACTACCGACCCCTCGTTTTGCATCGTAAATACCGTGTTCAACGTGCTTTTCCGGCAGGTCCGGATTCCGTATCTCTGAAAGACTGTCAAAACGAAACTCACATTTTAAGAGAACGCGCCAGGCAACTCGTTCAGGTTCGACGTGAGAACGCACTCAACGGCAACACTGTACTCTTCCAATCAAAAACCAACCGCCAAGCGACCCGTTTAGGTTCGACGTTAGCACGCACCTAACGGAAAACTTTACTCTTCCAATCACAAACCAACTTCTGCCTAGTGAAAACCAAAAACCATTTTTTGGGAAACTCTCTTCGGCCAGACTCCAAACATAGGGTTTTTTTGGTTTTCACTAGGAAAAAACGGGTTTTCGGTGTAAAAGCTAAGTTTTTCCCCAGGAAAAAATGGTTTTGGGCAAAAAAGTCAACTATATTTCATCGGAAAATGGATGGTTTTTGGCAGAAAAATATTTTTCCGAGTGAAAGCCGCATAATTTGTTTTGGAAACTATACGGCAAGACTCCAAAAAGATGGTTTTCTTTGGTTTTCCCTAGGAAAGATTGTTTTTCGGTATAAAAACCAAATTCTTCCTAGGCAAAAACAGTTTTGGAATGGTGTTGGGCAGGAAAACCATTTTTTGGAGTCAGGCCGTTTAGCTTACCACAACATGTTTGTTTTCGTCTTTTTGGGTTTCGCTAGGAACAGTTGGCTTGTTCTGCGCAAAACCATTTTTTGCCTAGGAAAAGGTTGGTTTCTATGGGTTATTCTGCTCAAAAACCATCTTTCCTTGGAGAAGTTAGTATTTCACTCCAAGACCAAATTTTCCTAGCGAAGAGTGTTTATTTCAAAAGTTGTTTGCGCACGCTACGAATTCGTGTTGCCAATAAGGTTCGTCGGGTGTCATCACTATTGGGATTCGATTCCGCTTAGCATTAATACTCAATAGGTAATAACCAGGACATGATTCGGATCAGTTTTGGGGTTTATATGGGGAGCCAGTATTATTGCAAGTTTAACACAGAACAGGATATCAGGGTTGTCACAGCTACCACTACGACTTCTTCTGGCTGACTAAGGTTGTAACTTGAATAAGGGAAACATCAGTTTATGGGTGGTGCTAAGCCTACTATGGATGGCCTGGGGCAGTCAGGGCGAATACCGTTGACATAAGAGCCAACGACACGGATAGGGTTAGGGTTGATGTTGCTTGGAGTGAAGAGTCAATTGACGATCCCCGTCATTGTGTTGGTATCTAGTACAAATTCAACCTCAGGGTTAGCATGTGTATATACAGGCCCCAATGTGTATACAGGCATGCGCGCAAGTCCCACAACAATTCCGAGATGATCATATGCTACAATGAGAAAGGGGGTGCCATGTACAATGCGATGAGCTAAACAAACACATGCTGGTATCACCTTTAAAACTGTAAAGGCCATCATTTGGGCAACGCCAAAGCGAACACAGCAAGGATCGTGGCTCTTAATGGGTATCGTTTTGTTTAACATCTGCATGCACGTGAGGGCTATCGTTGACGTAAACGTAAAGCAAGTGTTTAGCTTGCCTGCATTCAATATTAACTGTAAATAGTATCAGGGATGCCATGAATTTGAACTTCGGGAACTTGAATGCTCGTGCTCGGGAGCCCGCAGCTACATCTGGATTGCTTAACCTGTTGATGCGGCCAATGGTCGCGGCTTCTCCTAGACCCAGTTTTTGGGTTGCTGTTGAAGGAAGCATCCGGTACAGTACGAAGGTTAGCAATGGGAACAACTTATGGGTAATATTAAATTTGCGAGTGAGGTCCATCTTGGAGTCATATCCAATATCAGGGTTGCCAAGGGGACTGCAATATCCTTACTATCGGGGGGCCAATCAGGCTGATGTATGTTATTATATTAACCTTCAGGTCGATATGGGAATTTAAAAAGGGAACGTATTATGGGGTTAAGTCGACATAGCATTTTCGTCCATATGAACTAAGTCGTGAATCTATAAGGAGTCTCTTTCGGGTGAACATGAAATAGAAGACTACTGTCACCATTGGGGCCAATGTAAGGTCTAATGGCATGGCTAGTCTTAGGGATACTGTTGTGTAGGAATAGGAATAGGAGTCAATCAAGGCCCACGGTCATTCATACGTAATGCTGGGGCTTGGGTCTGAGACTACAGTGAAGTCTACCTGGACAGAAATGACTATCATCGTTGGCGAAATCATCTCTCGGAGTATCTGCGTGAAGGGTCGCAAGTATTCAGAATAAAGGCTTCTGCCGATATACATATGTTACATTTGCTGTCTCCTCGGAACTTCAAAACCTAACGTTAAACCTGGATCACACACCAGAAGCTTAAACGTAAGAGGATTGGTAGCGCCATCACGGCACCTCGCAGTAGCTTTTTTGGGGGATGGGGGTAGCACATATCTATATATATATATACACACACATACACATACACGCATGTAAATAGATATGTACACGTATATGTGTGTATATATGTATGTAGGTATGTACACGTATTCTAACTTCATGTGCATGCACGAGTTGGTCTATTACTGTGCTATACATAGTGTATGTGCGCTTGTCCGTGTATGGTGATGGCTCCAGTACGAAAGCTTCCGAGCGACTTCGCAGGGTCTCTGCCGACTCCCAGGGCGCGCGGCCATGGAGGTTCCAGGAAGCCAAGGCCAAACGCAGCTTGCCCTGAGGACTTCGACGGACCTCCGGAATGGAAGGAGCCTGCCAGAAGGAAGGACATCAAGGTCCAAAGTCCAATCTATGGGGAGCTCGCTGTTCTTGGGAGTGGGGGGAGGAGAGAGGCGGCTCTTGCATGACGTGTGGGTTTCGTTATGTTTCGTTCTTCGGGCTCCTGTTATCATAAAATACAGACCTATGGCTGACCTATGCTTTGTTTCTGCAAGCTGATGTACATGATATGCCCTCTTGGGCATTGCCTTGGCCAGCTTATGGCTGCGCAAGAGCAGCTGTATTGCCGACTGCCGCGCGTCGTCTTCGAAGTGAGCACAGTAGGCCTGAAGAAACAGCGGAAGAACCCCTAAACCACAAGCCTTAGCCTGGTACAGGTGGCTTAGTGCTCAGGGCAGCACTCGGTTCACCGCCCTCCAGCCCTTCTCCAGCATGGCTCTGGCCGTGTGGCCGCCTGGGTGTCACAAGTGGTCAGATCCAGTCGCGCTCTGTACAGAGACAGACCTTGTCGCAGGGCAGCACCCATGGTACTCGCAGTTCCCGTGTACCTAACACTGGGCAAAGTAAAGCAAACACAAACTGCAGCATGAGAGACAGTGCCAAGCCGTAGCGCCGTTATGCGCCGTTACAGGAGCAGCGGAGCACGGCAGGCATACAATGCGTGGCTCTGGAAAAACTGCGGCTTCTTCCAAGCAGCTGCTCCGAAAGTGCGTCACCCAAATCGGCCCACATGCTCCTGCACAGCAACACGAATTTCTCTCTGATTACATTGTCGCTGCACTTTCTTCAGTTTCCTTAGCGCCGCTTGCAGATGGCCCGTCTCGACCGCGGCGCCTCGATAGCCTGCACAGGGCAGGCTGGAGCCCAATGTTTGTTTTACCGTCATTTTCTGGTGACAAGACCACGCTTTGCCACTGCTACTGCCCTCGCGTTGTCGCAGTCTCTCCTGGCTCTCACACAAACACATCCTATGTTGGTGCGGGACTTGTCGACATAAGCACTTTCACCTTGTTATTGTACCTAGCTTGTCTTTCCGTTGGTGCCACTGGCCTGAAGAGGTAGGAGATTGGAAGGTAGGCAGCTGAGCTTGCAGCCAGCGCCAAGCCACCTGCTTTGTGGAGAAAGCAGTTGTTTCTCCAATCACTGCATTATGGCTTTTGCCATTTTGGAGACTCCCCTAGGCCTCATGTGCGAAGTGCATGCGGCACGTGTGTCGTGCCTGGTACTGAAGGAGGTTAGTTCGATCCAGGGAATCGAAGCAGTTGGTTCGCACCACCCCTCGTTGTCTTTGCAGCCTGCAGTCCACGAGAAGGCACATAAAAGGGGCACCTGGTGCGGTCATGGTGCACTCGGGGTGGAATTGAGATGTCAGCTTCAAAGAAGCCGAAACCTCGCAGCAGCGTGCTTCAAAAACGACGCAGCGAACAAGCCTGACGAAAAGGCCTTCGATCTTGGATGAAACCTCATCGTAGATACTGTCGAGTTCCCGAGTGAAGGCATCCTTGAGCACTCCGCGAGTTTCGGACATCGCCGATGTCGCAGATCAAGGTACGTGCCTCTTCTCCAGTGACTCGGGCCTTGGCTTCGAGACCACGAACAGAACTTGGTTCGAGCAATCTCTGCTGATCTCTGCTGAGTTAAATTTGTTCATTCAATCTTTGCCAAGATGCATGAAAATCCAAGTGGGTTAAGTTCTCACCGACTCGCCTGCGAAAATGCCGTAGCACAGCGGACTGGTAGCCGCCACGCTCGACGGATGGACAAACCTTTGAATCCTGTCCATCCCAGAACCTTAAGCCCCTGGCATTGACGCCCTATAAACCTTTTCTTCTCCAACTTCGCTCTCGATGTGCGGGTCGAAAAGCTCTTGCAACGGGCCTTCCGAACGCAATGAACCTCTGCAACTTTAGGGAGTGGGCGACCAAGATGACTATAAGCTTCAATATCAGATTGCAATGATGTTGCATTCGCAGCCCCTAGCTTCAAGAGATGCATCGTCAGCTACCTGACTCTGCTCTCTTGATGCGCTGTATGCGCTCACTCTAAAAAGTTTGGACGGGCTTATTCAAAGCTCTCTCCAATTGGAGAAGTGCCCAAAGAACTCGAACGGTCGTGGAAATCAACCAGCACTTCGTAGCAGAGACGGTGCGGCACGACCCTATGCAGACGCGGTAGCCACTTCAGACAGTGCTCTCAGAAGCCGCCGCGCCTTCTAGCAGTCACTGCTGCAACTACAACCACCACCACAAACCGACTACCGTTACGACAACCACTACTACTGCAACCAACAGCTGCATGCTATTGGTTTTGGGCTGTTGCGAAGAGCGGAGGCTCGCATAGCGATGCCCTGTTTCTGTTCGAATTGCATTTCAGGGTTCAGTCTACGAGGGGTTTTGGGTAAAGGGTACGGCGTCCGGCGACGACGACGAGGGCTTGCACGTCTCGCGGGGTAGAGGGGCTTTGGGTACAGGGGTTCTTTCAATTGGCTTGCACTGCTCTTGATTGTGAGTTTTGTGTGGGCTGGAAGGTCAGCGGCTTGTCAGGGGCTGTCAAGAACTCTGCTTCGACAACGGGTTGAGCAGGTCAATCGTCCCGCAGCGCAAAGGAGCAGTGGATGTCTTGATGTCGCGAATGACAAGGCCTCTATCTGAGGACCGCTGAAAGATGCGAAAAACAGGTCCGAAACAGTTCCCTTTCCACGCTTCCACTCGTAGCTACTTGGCATTCCGTTTAAACCGGAGTGCGGAGCACGATACTCGTCTGTTCGGATCCAGTGCTCTAAGGACACTCTTCTATTTCCACGGCGGCTACCAGTCCTGCAAAACATGCTATGGGTCGCAGAAAGAATCTACATCGTATATTCATCGTGATGCTTGCATGCATTCACAGTTGCAGATGGATGAATGGATAATCGGATGGTCAGGCAGACACCCCCATGTCGTTGTCCAAGCGCTGTGTTTTTCACTCATCATGCAGCCGCGATTCTCAGGAGAGCAAGCTCGGAACCACAAGTACTGCTTCCATGCAACATTCTAGACTATCATGAGCCGTAGTGATGGGGTGGTAGTGGTCGGGCGGTGGTGGGGACACTTGTAGGAGGAGAGGCAGCATTGGCAATGGTCGATTAGAAAGCAGCCGTACATTCTGGGCAAACTCTAGCGCCGAACGCTCAAACACTCAAAGACCACGCAGGATGGGGAGGTAGAACACACTAACAGTGTGCCGCCGAGGTGTCCCATTTCGCACGTAGTCTCGGAAGAGCTGCATCAGTACAGAACTTTATGCACCCCTTCTAGGAAACCTTGTGCCCGGTAAAGTAAAGGAACCCTAGCCGAGTCCTGCCTGGAGTCTGTGTGGGTGGCCACAAGGTCAGGGATGCCAGGAAAGGATCGGTTCCAAGGCTCAGTTGGGGCACGCTACCTCGGTTTCTCTGGGCCCGTTTGCGGATTCCGCACCCATCGCCCGTTCAGTAAGCTTTCTGTCTCTGTTCTGTTGACTCCCTTTCCTCACAAAGGTCTTCTTCTCTTCGTGACACTTCCTGGGTAGATGACTGTGCTGCTGGGCTAGTCTCTGTCAAGCGCAGCACTCTCGGCTAGCTTCAATCCTGTGCTGCCCAAGTCTCGTTGGAGCTGCAGCCATTGATGCTGCAGCATGCCTGCTCATGTCGAGGATGTTCAAGCAGGGTCCCATCGATAAAAATACCCTTTCTGATTGGGATCTACAGATTCCCCGCCAGAGGAGCACGTAAGACTGAACTTACGGCAAGGTGCTGTCCGCGCTGGCCAGCTCATGACATTTGAGACCCATCTCCATGAGCAGCTTGTTGGTTTCCTAAGCCGCTGTGCAGAACAAAGACCAGCCCTCGTTGAGCCAAACTGCATGCTGCTGATAATGCCACAAAATGCAACCCCAAACTATTCAATGAGTTCAGCGAAAGCTCCGCTCTTAGCTGGTAGGCGATTCGCTGCAGCTCCTCTTTTGACGAAGCCGGCCTTAGCCATTTCGAGAGGGTTCTTCTGACTTTTTTCTTTTCCGTGGTGCCGGCAGCTATGACTTTATCCATCATAGCGCCAGTGATGACTGACTCCTACGGCTGCTGCTGCTGCTGCCGCTAACCTCATCATCACAACCAGCGTCATCATCATCGCCGGCAGCAGCAGCAGCAGCACCACCAGCACCAGC